GATTAAGCTGATACTTTGAAGTCACTCTGCTTCAAAGGTACAGGCAGAAGGTATTTCACTGGATCTACAGCTTCGCCTATCTATCTCTTTTAAGAACCAAAAGGCTTTGAGTAAGTAATTTCAGACCAAAGGATGCATGGGGCAGCTACTGCTGAACAGCTAGAAGGGGGGTTAGTGACCTCTCTGAGCTGGTGCTTCTGTTGTGGGACTTGCAGAAGCAGAGGAAAAAAGGTTGTCTCCCAGCAACTTCCCCCCGGAGGACAGAAATTATAAGACTTATTTAAAATCTCTGAGATGCCAAAAAGGAGATTGTCAATGTCATCAACTGGCTCTACAAACAAAGGTCAAACATCGACCAAGAGTATAAGGTTCCTGAGAAAATTGCAAAATGTGGCAACTGTGGAAGATCCAATGACAATGAACGTTAGCCTCTATTTCCCTCTCGGAAAGGTACGATCCATGCCCTTATGGTGAGAGATAGCAGTGGTGCCCATATCATTTGCACTGGTTCTCATTTACAGAAGTCAATCGTTCCATCAAATGCCAATGACCTGAGAGCACACAGTGTGCTCTTTTTGCCCCTTCTTATAAAAAATGATGGCTGGTCTGTGCACAAATTTTTCTGTTCGAAGAGGATAATGAAGCTGATAGCCTATTCTCAGGCTGATTAAAGCCTAAAAACATATTCTGTGATGCTCTTTGTCAAGCCCTTGATTTTACAGCTCAGCCAGGTAGGTCTGCTTTGAAAAGATAAAACAGGGCAAACGAAAGTGCTGGCACTGGCTTGGAGCCCAATGGTGCATGCGATGTCGCCTTGGGAAGCAGCAGCAGTCCCAAGGAGCTCTCCCAGCTCTCTCTCTTCCCTCTGCCTCTTTCTCCTTCTCAGGGCCAGCGTGGCATGCAGCACAGGGCCTTAAACTCTTCTCCCAAAGGAGAGGGCTGCAGGTGTGGTAGTTGACCAGAGCTTATCCTTTTAAGGGCTAGCACAGTGCTCAGGGTCTACCGTCTGTGACTGGAGTTCCTGTGTGCTACTGCGATATATATAGGTAATACTATTTCTCCATAAAGACTCCTTGTATTTGATATTCTTTTGTTGTTTCAGTTCTGCTTGGTCCAGGCTTCAGGAGGAGCTATGATCTGCTCTTTTTCTCTTGTTTCCTTTTGGGAAGATGTGGATTACAATGCAAATCAGGGGAAACTATGGGTTTGCCAGGCTCCTGGATGCATGCCAAGAAGCCTAAATTCTGCAAAAAAGCCACTCAGATCAGGACTTTCAGGATTCACAACAGAGCATGCAAGACCTGAGAGCCTTCTGCCACAAAGCTAAGGGCGTAGACTGAGACCTGGAGATAGACAGCTAACATGTCCCTCAGCTCTCCCTTTCCAAGGGCTGTTGGGATTGGGTAGCCCTGCATTTTGGAAATGCTGCACTGAGATTGCAGTGTGGGCTGCTGAAAGAGCTCAAGTGGGTGAAATACAAGGAAAGCAGGGAGACTTCTGTCAGAAACCTGCCTGCAAGGCAATTTCCAAAATCCACCTACTTTGCATCTAAAAAACTCATCAAAACAGTCACCTTTCCATGAAATGGTTTACTTCCATCAAACTGACATTTTCTGGAGGTGTAATTCTCCAGCTGGCTGCGGCTCTGAATCTTGATTAACTGAGGTTTGTAAGAACTTTGGGATTACGAAGGGAAAATGCAAAGGAGTGGAAAAGCAGCCAGGTCAGCCTAAGTACTCTAGCAAAGTTACTATTAAGTTACTAAAGATAAAGTTACTATACCTTTGCCTTTTCAAGACAGGGTCAATTAATAAATAAATAAATCGAAGACTTACCCACAAAACACCAGACAGCAAATCGGATCCATGTGACCGTGGAGAGCTTCAGCATGAGATAGATATTCACCAGCATAGCAAATGCAGGGACGAAAGGGAGGCAAGGTGCCATATATGGCAGCTTTTTAGGGTTTTCTGGCTGCTGTAAGATCACAAACACCAATACAACAATGAGCAGGATCATCAGCACCACAAGAAGGACAGCCCACCAGCTCTGCTCGTAGATGTAGTCTGCACCAAAAATGATGAAAGAGCAGAAGATGAACATCAGGACAAAGAGCAAGAGCACGCATGTGGTGACTGTATGGCCGGTGGCTGCAGTCGGGCGGTCCATTTTCCCTGGCAGGCCGAGGTGGATCCGCATTGTGTAGTAGCGTGGACCAATTAACTTCTTCAGCTTGATGAGGTAGATGTTCTCGGACTCATCTGCCTCTATTCCTGAGGTCATGTCGACTGTGCCATAATTCGGGTGATTTACACTGTAGGTAGATTTATCGGATTTTCCTATTAACATCTCATTATCCCCCAGTGATGGCAGATTTTTTGCCCCACACGTGTTGGTTGATGGACCCGTAAACTCTTCTCCTTCACTCCCTGGAGAGCAAACTTCCTTCTCACAGTCGGCTAGGATGCCCTCCTTCTTCTTGGTGTGCTCCTCAGAGAGGAATTTGACAAAACCATCAATGTCACTCTCCGGCTGGTATCGGAGGAGCAGGACGCAGACGGAAACCAGTGTGTAGGCAAGGAGCGTGCCGATGGACATCATTTCTATGAGGTCCCGCAGGCTGACCAGCAAGGAGAGCAGTGCTGCTAGAAATCCTGAGACAATACAAGCCACTACTGGAGTTTCCGTGTAAGAACTGACGTGGGACAAAAATCTAGAGTGTGAAACAGTCGCACAAAGTTAAAATTGCAGATCATAGAGGTTCCCTGTCATAATAATGCTTACCTAGCTGGAAAGGCACAGAGCCAGGCTCAGAGCTATGATCACCTCAGCTCTCATTGCTTTTTGGAGCTTAAACTCCAGAGAGCCAGAGACTGGAAATACTGCTGAGGCTGAATCTGGAGTTAGATCTAGCTCTAACCAACTCTGTGCAATCTGAAATGTTCACCTGGATTCTTGCAAATGCAAACCAGTACCATGATTTTAGGCATAGAACCTGCACGCCTTTACAAGTAACCCTTGAACTGAATATTCATCCTTGGATAAATTGCATCTCTAGATACCAACCCCAAATGAGAGAATAAAGGGAGGCTGGAGGCCTGGAGAGGAGAACAGTGCAACAACTATGAGACCATCCCAGGAATGCTGCTTCCGCTCATGTTATGCACAGAGGGATATAACCCGCACTGCTGCTCAGCCCCTTACGTTGCAGGTGACTCTTGGACTGTCTGTGAAAACACAGTGGCTGTGCAGGTCTGCGGTGCAGAATCACGATGGGAGCATGCTGGGACAAGTGAGTCTTTTCGACTCTTGTCCTACAGCTCAGCACCACCAGATACGAAGTGGCAAAGGTCAAAGTTTGCTCTGTTCTACAGTCCAGATCGGATTTTGTCGGGGGGAACGGCTAGAGTGCTTCTTGTTTTTATGAATGCTACAGATTTTTTTTTTTTCCTTTCTCCATGCTGGAACACTGAGCACAAACCTCAGCTGAAGAAAAGAGTCCCCAGCCTAGTGGTAGTACAGTATAGGCCCTTACTGTGCAACAGGTTAAGCCCATGGTTTTTAAAACAACATTCTAGCAAAAGGAAAAAGCTTGATCTGAAAGCTCAGCCGTGGCTTCATCATCCTCTAGCACACAGCTCTGGAGCATTTTCTTGTGCACAGACGGATTAATGCCCAGTCACTCCCCTTTGTGTTGGGAGTGTGGATATTCTGCTCTCACAAGGCATGGCAATGCTGCTTTAGGTTAGCTGGGGACCATCTGTTCCTGTCTGAGCTATATATTCATGCATGAGAAACTTTTGCCACCAGCTACTGCATCTGTAGACCTCTCCTGACTTTCCTGGGGTTTTGCTTTGGTTCATGCACTGCTCTGCAAGCACTGAGTGCGTGCATGAGCTTGCGCTCCACGTGGTGAGTGCGCCTGACTGTCAGGACATGGGAAAGCCCCCAGCCCCCAGCACGCTTCCCCTTCTTGTCTTGAATTTGTGAGGGTTTGCTAGCTAGCATCTGCCTGTGCTGCTTTGATCCCTTTCAGGCGTCCTCTTCCCTGACTGCAGACCTTGTGCAGTTTTATTACACATCGCGTTAAAAGGGAAGCGCAGTCACTGAACTGACAGGTTTCCGCAGAAAAGACAAAATAACTCACAGAGGATTTCCCGTCAATCATTTATAACATGCTTTCATGCCAGAAAGCATCCAGGAAGCAAAAATAAATGACAGCAGAGGCACGACTGACCTGAAGAGCAGCCCATCGCCGGCCATGGCGTAGATGACTCGCGGCATTGGGAAAAGGGAACCCAGCAAGCTCACTGTCAGTCCTGCCACAGACCCGATGGCAACGATGAATTTAGCAGCGTAGAATCCACGGGCCACAAACATTTCCATCAGAGGGGATTCGGTGTCAATGGCATCATATGGCACCATCAGAGTGAGGATAATGCTCACCTACGGAAGAGAAAAGAGCAGCAGGGGAGCACAGATGTCAGCACTGGGCAGCAGCTTTCGTCCCTGCTGAGGACTCACAGGGCATGAGAGCTGTTTCTCAAGGATGAAAAGCCAAAAAATTTCAAGTGTGATTTCAGACACTGCTTGTATCCTTATGTTCCCTGCAGAGGAGATGTAAAATGCTAGATGCAGAGGACAGCATGTTCTTTGCAGTGCAGTGATTAATCGAAGGGGTTTGCACTGCCTCGGGCTGTGCCGTCCTAAGGCAACAGGAAGACAGCTCGAGGCCGGCTGCAGCAGCGGCCGTGACTCGGGACCGCTCGTGGGACTTGGTGGGGTAAGTGACGTTGAGTTCAGGCGCTTTCCCCTGCGTGGGGACCATGGTATTAGTCTCTGCTGCTCTGCTGGGGTAGAAGCAAAACCCAAGAGAGAATCACTTGGGGAAATATTCTGATCTCATTTCAGGCACTGAGAAGCTGGTTTCGAGGAAACCCACCATCCTGCGGGAGAGGGCGGCTGGTGAGTTTCCTGTAAAATTAACAGAACAATATTTTTCCCTCCATCACTCAATTTTGCCGTCCTATAGTGAAAGTCCCTGAATACAGACATGCATTTATTGGCATGCGGGGAGGCTGGACACTGCTTCTAGCACTTCTCTCACCTGGCTATCCGTGCCTGTAACAGCACAGCCGGTGAGCTGGGCTAACTGGGACCCTGTCTTACCTCTCCAACAATGACAGTGCTGCTTTTGGCAAAAATGCAGCCCAGAAGATGGTTGCTGCAACACTGCTGCTCTTCCACTTTGCTGTGCTTTTGGACATGCGCTCCCCTGTAATAGCTGAGGATGGAGCTGACCGGGGAAAAGACAGGCTGCTGCCACCCCCTGCAACTGGCACAGGGATCTCAGCAGAATGAAAGTAGCTGAGTCCTCTGCCTGGAGAAATAACCACACCGGGGGCCCAAAGGGCAGCCTCCATCAGACACTGACGTAGTCACAAAACCACAGCTGATTTCTTGGTCCTCACCAAAGAAAGAGCCATTCTTCCAGGGTGTGACTGACACACTGTCTCGCGGAGAGAGAGGAGCAGCACAGCTGCCCCAGCAGGGACAGACATTCCTATAGATATATACACATATAGATGTACGAACAGTTAGTACTTACAGACACATATGCGGTCAAGCACGTGACCAGCGAGGCTGTGATGGCATAGGGGATGGAGGTGTTGGGACTCTTGGCTTCTTCTCCTGTGGTGGCAATGATGTCAAAGCCAATGAAGGCATAGAAACACGTTGCTGCTCCTTTCAGCACCTGCAGGGAGAACCGAGGGCGTCAGAGCCAGGAGGGAGCCGTGTAGGAAGAGGTAGCCCCTTGCACGTCCTGGATCAGGACTGGGGACCCACACTGCCCAGACCTGATCCTGGTCAGAATTTGCATTTGATATGGTTCATCTTAAAGTAGGTGCCTAAATCAAGGAGCCCAGTTCTGCCTCCTCTGGGCTTGAGGATGAGTGAAAACCATTGATCAGAGGAAGCCTACGTACACCCGGGCATTTGTGATGCTGGCAGCTCCTACAACCAGTGATTTGGTCTAGAGAGAATATTTCAAATGCAGCTTGAGTCACTCAAGGCATCTGCAGCTCCCTCATGCCGGACTACAAACCTGTGGCTACAAAGTGCCCGAACCTGCTAAGAGATGCTGACAGTGACAGATGAGACAATTAACCAATTTGGGGCATTCATTTGTTTTCACAATATTACATCCCAAATCTAATTAAATTAATAGGGGCTTGTAACATGTTTACACATTCCATCTTAGCAACATTCCTAATGTGGCAGCAAAATCTGCTAAGAGAGGAACCAAAAACAGATCATAAGCAGTCAGATGTGTGCCGCTTTCCTAATCGCTTCAGTTTGGAAGCTGCAGATAGGTTAGGAGCACACGCTGGGAACGCTTGGATGACAAATTATTTGTACTGTTTAGATATTTTATTGTTTTCTTTAAATGTACAAGATTAGCAAGGATATTTATAGGAAATAAACACTGAAGCAGCCTGAAGACTGTGTAGCCGTAAGAAGTGAGTTAATTTGCAGTTACCATACCGAGCGCACACATCTAGCTAGCTAGCTGAATAACACATGTCCATCTCCTCACTATCTCATCTGTTTAGTACTGGAATATACAGTAAAATTCACCTTTTTCAGCGGGTTACCTGTAATTAAGTTTTAAAGTATCACTGGGGATACTTTAAGCTTGGGGATCTCATGCCTGTGCTGTGCCCATAGGTAGTTTACACCCTAGAAGCAGAGAGTCAGATTTATTTTTACAAGTGAAATTTGTAGATTTGCTTAATTTGGGAAGCACGTAACCAGCTGAAAATGGTGGGAAGGCTCCTATTGATTTTGATGTGTTTTCAGTACGTATCTTTTAAAAATACGTATTTTTGCCAGGAGTTATTTGGTACGTTGAACATGAGCAAAACAGCTATTTTCTGTTTTCTGTTTTTCATTCCTTTTATATGGTATAAAAGGCCAAGCAGAATCCGAAAGTAAATAACAACCTCCACTCTGAGATGGGCCTCAGTGCATTTCTAATCACTGTTTTTCTCTGGCGAGGAGGTATTGATTTATTGAAGGGAGATGAAGGGAAGGTATGGCAGCTTGGGACCTCTCAGTAATCAAGATTCTTGGTTTGTTTTACTTCCTTGCTTATTTTTCTGCACAAGACCCTGATGGAGTTGAGCAGTGTAAATCTGAGAAATTATCTTGGGTTTAGGCCAGCTGAGATATTTTCAGTCTCTGTTCATCCTTGGATAAAAACCAGTCCAAGCAAGCTAAAAAAGCCAAATATGTCCAAATTCTCAGTAAGCTTTGAGGGAACATCCATAAAATAAGCACTGGCAGGTGGTGTTATGAAGTGCTCAAAACAAATGCTTGAGAACATTGTTATTGAAAATCAGCCAACATAAGTATCTCCCCTTTTCCGTTAGAGCCTGAGCTAGTTCTTCTTGTGCTTCCATTCTTGAATGGCTACTGCATTTTCTTATGTTAAGCCTGCCTACTAATGGCATTCCCTGGTGTCTATACATTTTTGTGGGCACTTTGGCTCTGCAGGAGGGCATCTGGGAAAAAGCTAAGCTGTGGCAGGAGATACGGGCAGAGCATTGCCACGTCCTTTGGGCTTTGCAGAGGTAGGAGGGTCCAGGCCCAAACCTGCAATGCTGGAGGTCTCTGGCCAAAGCACAGGTGGGTTTAACAGGGCTGAGCAGTGGGGAGTGAAGTGGAAGTGGTGCCCCCATGCCACCTGCAAAATGCCGCAGTCTTGGGGGTTCGGCATGGTACGGGGGCACTGCAGGGAGCACTGCGGGCAGTGCTGGGGGCCCTGGAGCACGAAGCTGAGCACGTGCCAGGTGCGATGGCTCTGTGAAGGCACAATACTCACCCCCGGCCATCCAAAAGGCAGGAATTGCCCTTCAGACCAGTTGTCACCTTTGACAAAGAAGAGCCCAGCAATCATGATGAAGATCCAGACTGCCAGGTTAATGACGTTGAGCACGTTGTTGAGCCCGACTGAGTTCTTCACGCCCATGGCCACAATGATGGTGACAATGACAGCAATAACCAGAGCAAGGAGGTCAGGGTATGACTCCTCTCCTTTCCCTGGATAAAAGCAAAGATATGTATAAGTCTTCATCTGTGCAAAGGAAAGCATATCCAGAAACTGTGGGCTTTTCTGAATGCTTTTCAGACTCTGCAGCAAGTTTTGCAGAACTTGATCTCGCTGCAAAGGACTCATGGTGGTCTCCGTGTGTCTCTGCCTCCGCTGTTTTATACAGGTGATAAATCATGGTGCCCGAAGACACCTTTAGGAGTTTTGGGAAGACAGTAAACAAATAACCAAGTCTCAGCTTGTAATAATGTGTATCTGCCAACTCCTAATGAAAAAAATCAATCAAATATTAAAGTTGCATGAAACTGTTACAGGACAGAAATCTATTGTTACTTACCGGAAGGAACTACAGAGCATCACTGAATTGCTGGTCATATAGAAACATCATAGCATTGAGTTTACATGCTAGTACCGCGGACACTGCCTTGTACTCTCTAAAAAGGGTCTGAAAAGGACTATCACTTCAGGGCTTGGGGTTGTTCCTTTCTGTAAAAGCCAAGATTTTCCTGCTTTGGCATCATCCTTGTCAGCGTCCTTGTCTGTAGAACAGCTCTGTACTCAGGACAGTTTGAAGGACGGTGCAATCAGACAGAGCTGTGCATATGCTGTGGATTTGCCTTTCAACTGCTGCAGTTCAGTGCTCAGAGATCTTGTTTTCCTGTTTTCCTGACATTACAGATGGAGTCCATATGATTCCTCAGTAACTGAGGTCTGGAGAAGCAGCTTGGATTGCCAGGCTGCTACCACTGTCCCTCTGCACGCAGGCTCCCAGCCGGGGTGGGACTAGATTGCATGAGATGTCATGTCGGTTGTACTAATGAGTGTGCGTGCGTGAGCCTGTGGCGTGGCTGTGGGAGGGAGCGATGCATGCAGATGGCCTGGTAGTGTGCCTCGCAACGCCCTGATTAGAGACAGCTCTAGGAAACATGTCAAATCAACAATCTGGCAGGAAGAGCTTTCTTTTCCAAGCAATGAGTGTAAATCAGAGAGAGACACAGACTAAAGTACTAGATCAAACCCTAACTGAGCTGCCAGCAGCTGCGGTTCCAGGAGCATGCCCTAACTTCATCGTTTGAGCCTGTCTCCGGGGGAGATGGCTTTGTTCTAGCTCGGTGTCCAGACATGCGCGTTTGGATCTGAACTTGCCGGTTCAATCCTGTTCCTGGCAAAAATAAATTTGTCTATCCTCTTACCTCTAATTGCACTCAAGCCTGTCACCTTTTGCAAGCCATGTTGTTGCTACTGAGGCTACATGAGCCACGACACATTACTGTCACCAGCACAGGAGAAGTGGTCTTCAAAATGCAACAACATGGCTTGCAAAAGGAAGTATGTGTGCACACGTTGTATGGGAAAAGTGTAAAGGAGAGCACTACAACATCAAATACTAACTAAATAAGGCAGCAAGAATGGTGCAGAAGAATGGCTATAGGGTCCTGATGGGCTATGTCTGCCTAAATAGCAATGATCATAGTGCTTGGACTTGGTGAAGTGCTCCTTTGCTACCGTTAGCCTCTGAGATCAGACTGGTTCTTCAGGAGTGTTTATTCTGCTCAGTGCCAGCTCATTCCAAAGGGGATTATTGGGATTGGGTATCCCAGCCCCTCCGAACTGAGTCTGTGAAGCAGACTGCCAAAGGCGGATGGACGGTAAATAATGAATGAAGCATAATACCCATGTCTGACTTTTGATGAGCTTCCAAATTACTTTTCAGGACCTCATTAATGTAGGTAACTATGCATGGCAAGATATGAGTATTTCTAGACTGATTCTCACCTAGGCCATTTAATGTCCCAACGCTGTCAATCATCCAGCGGCTGATGGTATGGTTCGCCAGCGAGTCGAACATGCTGCTCAGTGCACTGGCCCCAGCGGCTGTGCCGATCAGGTACTCCAGGATGAGGTTCCAGCCGATGAAGAATGCTACAAACTCCCCCACGGTCACGTAGCTGTAAGTGTAGGCAGAGCCAGTGGTTTTGGGCACCCGCACGCCAAACTCTGCATAGCAAACTCCTGTTTAGAAAAATAAAAACGGTGTAAGGAAACATGCTGGGCTGTAGAGAGAAAGGAGTAAACTTGCCCTGGGTCTGACCTGCTTCCCAACCCATGGAGGTGCCAGGAGCTCTCCCTGGGCTGCAGGGCATGGGGCACAGTGCAGACCCCACTGCCCTTGGGCTGGGAAGAGGGAGCACATGTCCTTTCCCCAAACCCGTGGTGCTGGGGTGGGGGGGAAGAAGGGGCCACCTGCAGTGTGTATGGCATGAGTAAGGGGATCAAAGTCCCTTAGCAAAGCAGCTTGGTTGGTCTTTTTTTTTTTTTTTTTAGGACTGACTGAGAGTAGCTCGCCTGACCTCCCACCCCAGGACTGCACCGACTCCTCAACGGGGTGGCTATTTATCACAGTCTGAACACAGCAACATCTGGAGGGGCACAGCGATGTGGGGCTGTGCAGGCAGAACTGGAGCCCACGTGGCAGAACAAGCCACCGAATGCTTGTTCAGGTGCCTGCAAACCCGATCCTTGAGGAGGCAACACTGCCTCACTGACCACACTCCCAAGAAAAACAGGAGCATAGAGCTGACCCATGGGCAACGCTTGTAAAGGCTCGCAGATGGGCCAGAGCCTGCAACTGGATCTGCTGAGAAAAGTTTTAGATATGTTTTTGTTCCAAGCGAAAGAAACTTCTTTCCTTTTTCTTCTTTTCTCTGCTTTATCTAAAACAAAGCAATCCTCCATTAGTCACCTGGCTCTCCCACGGCCAGGCTGGAGGGTAACTTCTGTGACGGTGACATTCAGACACGAGCTGTGCCAAAACCTGCAACTCTGCCTGTTTCTGCCACAAACGAGATGATCTGAGATACGGGGTTGACAAACGATCAATCTCCAGTTCCTGTGAGGAGCTGAAAGAGGCTATGCCAAGTTAGTCCCTTGCGGCCACGTTAGAGTAACAGCAGCCATAGGGTTTTTCTCAGGAGACGGCCGTCAGGAAGTTTCAGGTGCAACACGGATCACTCAATCAGATGTTACTTGCTGTAACATCAGGGTGCGAAAGGGAGGAGAGCCTGAATCAGGCAGGGTTATAGGCGTATTATTGCTCTTTGCTTTGTGATGTCTGTGGATCAGTGATGGCTGATGTTTGAGTGATGTTTTTGTTCCAGATTGGAGACAGAGAAGGTCTTTGGCTGGGAAATTCCTCCGCAATGGCCATAGCATCCAGCTGATGGCATGGGCAGGGTTGGCTGTGGGTAGGCACGATGACTGCTCCTGTCCTTCTGTGAGGAGAAGAGGCGGCTTCCAGCCCTTTAGTGCAGCTCCTGCTGTGAGGTCTCAGTATAAAAGCAGCAAAGTGGAACCACTCCTTGCTAGGTTCATGCAGGATGATGCAGCGGGGACGAGGGGTGCAAGCAGAGGCCCCCGGTGGATATCTCTGCGGGGCCACAAGCCACCTGAACGCTCTGAGGAGCCAATAGTACAAGGGTTGATCAACGGACGAATGCTGCCGTCGGGAGTCTGGGGCCAAATCCTGTCTGCTTTACACAAGCACTGGAGATAACACATCCCCTGATGTGGCTAGTAACATTGGTCCCATGAATCACCTCCAGCAGGGCACTAGCGCAGCCAGCAAATAGCAGCTAACTTTAAGAGGAGCTCGGAGACATCCCGTGGGGACCCTCCCTCCACAATCACTTGGCTAAAAAAGCAGGTGGGATGCTGGTTTAGATGCAGGTCAGTGGTCTGCTGGTCCCTTTCCACAATGCTCAGCTGCCCCTCAGCTGGACAGGATGTCCTGGGGTTTCCAGTAGCCCTGAGCTGCTGGCAGGTAGTGGGGAGCCAAGAGACTCATTTCGAGCTGGACTGCCGAGCCTGCCCATGGGTTTGCTCCCCCTGTCTCTGGGGGGCTGCACACCTGAGGAAGTGTGGAGATGGGCAAGATGAATGCTTAGATGGGTCTGGATGAAGTGTGAGTGGAAAGTGTGTGTGAAATCACCAGGAGAAACCAAGGTTCAGGGTTAAAACAGTAGCTTGCACATACAGCCAAGGACAGAGGCAAGAGCAGCAAATGGAGTAGCCCCAAGGTGCACGTTAAGTACCCCTGGATCTGAGAGGGCTGCAGTCCACAGCGTGCCAGCAGGAGACCTGCTCCCGACACAGGGAGGACAGCAGTATGATTACACGGTGCTGGCCCAGGCACTCCTGCTCTCACAACAGGGAAACACATTGGTGCTCTACAGACATGCAACATGAAGAACCAAAGTCCAAGCTTCTTGGAGGATGAAGTGAGCAAGTTTTGAGGGAAGAGGCTCATGTCATAATCAGTGCTGGCTCCTAGAGAGCAGAAAAGACCCAAAAAACCCAGCCTATGCCAGTTGAGAAATGCAGCAAGGCTTCAGCAGCTGGTGTCCCATGTCCTCCCTGCTGCGCACGTGGGACCTGGCCAGACGGCTTGCACGTGCACCGTGGTGTTTGTGGGCTGCAAGTGGGTAAGTTCAGCTCTCCAGAGAGAGCTTTATGCCTTCCTGCACAGCAAGATATCACTGACATGCAACCTTCCCGCACTGCTGATAATTGCAGCTGATCACAGACACACACCTGAAGCTAGATACTATTATACTGCTGTAATTATAAGGATATTCCTGTATTGGGTGGCACCAGTTTTGCATTCATTTGAGCCCTATTTCCATGTAGTAATTTTGATGGAGACAAATTTCTCTTCTTCCTTATCTAATAGTGATGCCATAATGTGATTTTTGCTATTTTTCTGGGGTTTCATCCCAAGAATGTTTCTCTTCCATGCTTTATTTACGGTATCAATATCCTGACATGCTACCAGGACAGCTGACACGGATACCCTAGTGAAGCTAATGCGTGTCCAGCATGTGGATCTGAGGCTAAAAAGGTTATTTGTGTTTCTCTCACAACAGTGAGAGGAACAACTCAACAGTGCCTGTAGAGCACTGTGCCTGTCTTCAGCAGGGGCTGCCCTCAGTACTGCTGCTCTTCCCCAGTGCTTTTGGCTGCAGAAGCCACCCTCGCCGTGGGGCTCCTGGTGGAAAGGTGGCCGCAGCGAGACCTACTGGGGAAAGAAGTTTTGGGTGTCTCAAAAATGCTGTGCGGTGCAAGGATGGTCCTAGCCCGTTTGTGGGATCCTGTGCTCGTATAGGTGGCCTGATCCTGAGGATGCAAACAAGGCTACACCTCCGCCACCTCGACTGTATGTGGTGCCGCACTTCAGTGACTCCGGCCTTCGCTGAGAAATATTCTGTTGTCCTCAGCGATCTGCAGATCTCCTGATCTCCGGACTGACATGCAGCAGCCCGTGCTGCAGTTTTCATTTTCACTGGCATAAATGGCACTAATCGCCTCTCAGTTACTCCTCTGTGAAGCACATCCTGTTGGAGGGTGCCCAGCAGCCCTTTGCGCCCCAGCCTCTCCTGACGAGCTGAGGGTGCAATTTTGTGCCTGCGTCGGGAGGCAGAAGTGGGTGCGTCGTCTCCAGGCTCCTATCCTTGCTTATCCCTACGCAGATCCAGGCAACAGCACTGTCCAGATCATCCCTGCTCTCATTTGTACCTGCGTAAGATGAGACTGAAGCCACTCTACACTGAGAATGTAAGTTATTTCAACAGTTAAATGCTATGTGGAAGTCTCATTCTGAAGAATGATTGTAAAATTGACTCAATAGAAGAAAAAAAGAAAAAAAAAGTATTTAACTGGAGCTGTTCAGGAGATTTCAGTGAATTTTAATACTTTCCAAACTCCTTGTGTACTTACTATGTTAGGATACTTTGCAATAAAAACCTGACCCTAATACATTGCCGTCTTAAAACAACCATTAGCTTTTCCTTAAACTTAATGGATGGATTTAGTCATAAATTCTGAGAATATTAGTCAGAACAAGTACTGGGAGGCTATACTGCATTCGGCATATTTAACGTCGATTAAGTCCTTTCTCCTTCAGCTAGGCTGTGAGTTCAGCATTGCAGCAACCCCTGCCTCCGTAGTTAGCACTATGGCACAGAGTTGACAGTTTAGAGCCTTTATTATCATTCTGAAAACATGTAATATTTACTGAATTCTTCATCTATTATAATTCTATATTTCAAAAATAATAATTGCTTCAAATTTACAATCAATTCAGTATATAAAGGAGAACGAATAATTTATAATAGCTTTATGAGGTCACTGCTCTTATTATAAGTGCAATTTTTACGCAGTACAAACACAAAATTGTTGGATCCCTAAGCTGGATTCAGTGGTACTTCTTCTTCTTGTTACTGGGGGTTTTTTATGTGCCTTTCCCTGTTTAACTTGCATGCATGATGCTGGTAGTGCTTTTCAAGGGGATACTTGAAAACTTTATATCAGTAAAGCAGGCCCAACTGCAGGAACAACAAGACAGCCGAGCATCCATCCCCACATCCAGTCATTATTCAAAGCTGATTAAAAATGCATGCAATCTGCAAACGGAAGACATTCACAGATAACTACATGCCTGAAAGATTTATGAAACAGATGCTCTGATGGGGACAAGTATCTAGTTTCTCTCTTTGATGGCCTTAAAAATCATATAATCTTTCTTGGAGGCAGCTCTTCTTCTAGCCAATGACAAGATAAGGCTTCAAGAGGATTGTTATTGATACAGAATGATAACGGCAAAGCAAAGACATTAATATGTCTGAAAAGTTTGAGTTTTCAATTACTCTACTAGGGTCCCGAAATAGAAGAGTAACCTTTCTCTGTGTTTTGGGTACAGCAACATGCTGTGTATACATGCATTAGATAGAGGCATATGTTAGGAAAATAAACTACTTTCTGTTTTATCATGCAGTATTCAGTCCAGGGGACAGAGAGGTATGAGATGCAAGGTCTGACTTCTGTCCCTCACTGCCCCGACTGTAGCGGGTGACACCGGTGAAACCACTCTGCCCTGCTGTGCTGTTCTCCGTCGGAAGGGGGCTAACGACGCTTCTCCCTCTATGAACGGCTTACCAAAGGAAGATAATACTATTAAC